AAGTTACAAAGGAAGAGGGACGTGCAGGAGCATAATGTTTCCCTAAACCAACATCAGAACATCAACTGACAGGTACTTTTCCGCTTCTGTTTCGCAAACGTTGTTGGCAGCATGGCATGTCTTGCGATGTTAGACAATTGTGCCTCAAACTAGTAAACACGATTAACGGCGCTCCGCTCATTCATCCCTAGAAATCCCCACTCAATGCATTTCACATTTTATTCGCTCTTGTTACAATTTGAGAGATGTCGTCGTACTATGACCAGCATTGCATTCACTGACAACGAAGTTAGCAGAATTTCATTTCGCATTCCGCAAAGTTCGAGGTCTCCGTTCTCCATTCTTGTGCACGTTTTCAAGCATTCACTTATTTATTGGTCGACCCAACGAATGCCCTTCATTAATTTCTCTATCTTCTCAGTACTTTCTGCTTACTACCTTTACGCCTTTCCACCCCTAAGCAGATATTTATTGCCACCTTCCACCCAACCAGGTAAAGCTTAGTTTATCTTGTGCGGTGCGTAATTTTTGGCTAAACTGAATTCAAGCTACGTAGTTTGCCGAGCATGACAAGACCACGTCATGGCGGACCGATCAATCTCACCTTGCCAAATACACCACCGTCATCTGTTTATGCTCCGCCATCTGATAAAAATTGCGCTTGTGTTTTATTTAAGGAAGTGTCAAAATATCACTTCCGATACGACTCTAGCAGCTTCACAGGAAGGTGTAGATGGAATCAAAATTACGGTTAATTATCGAAATATCTAAAAAGTAACAAATACAATGCCGCAACCTTTTCTTTAAATACGATAGGTGGTTACGAGTGAATGAAACAATGTTATCAGATAAATTTGATGGCTATTACAACTGGCAGATGCCAAAGATGGTCTCCGAAACGACTAACTCCTGTACTCTAGACAAAGCCACCAGTTCACTTCTGCAATTCGATCTTTTAATTTGTGCATGTGGCACCTTTATCCGTATCACTTAATTAAGCATCCAAAAGGATGACACTTAAAAATCAACTGATTAGATCTTTTGTTTGTAATTACGAA